ACTCTCTCTCTCTCTCTCTCTCTCTCTCTCTCTCTCTCTGTCTCTCTCTCTCTCTCTTGCCTGCTGTTTCTATCTCTCTCTCTCTCACTCGTCGACATGGATTAACAACCATTAGCGCCCTGTCTAAACTCATATTCCTTTATCCGACTCGAATCAGGAGATGTCGTTAGCAAACAATGTACACATAGACGGCAAGTGGTGAATAGATCCTGATCAGCTGTATGTAGCCCTACACATTTTAATAACGACGTCATTTACAGTACTGAAATGGCCAGGAGAATGTTGCTGAAAGGCTACATAAATATATCTGAAGCCATGTAAATCAATTAATTACCGAGACCAAGCAAAAGAGCGACGTAAAAGAGAAAAAGCATAAATATGCTTAATTTTCAAATCTTTCTTAACTATGCGCATCGCCATGTTGACACTTGTTGCAAGACTCTTCTGTCGTGCTTGTTAACGTAGAACTTAAGGTTGTTTTGCACGTGAAATTCCAGTTGATGAAGCTGGAGACTAAACAGGGTTTCTGTGATCTATTTTGCTGTTCTATAAATGCATTAAAAAACGAATGATGTAATATTCTGTTCAGTCGGAGTACATACTCAATGCATAATGAAACTGTTAATGAAACGCACTCTCTGTGGTTCATTTCTTTAAGGGACAGGCTGCGTGTTAAGGTAACGGTTACTGGGAACTAATTAAACTAGAGTCGATGTCGCTTTAACAACCACCTGTCCAAGACAATGACTTGTACGAACAACGACTGGACTCTCCTGCTCCCCAGCGGCGTTGTTTCTTGGGGGGGGGGGGTGGACTGGGTGGGGGGTTGTTTTGCTTTTGTTGTTGTTTTTTTGTGTGGGTTTTTTTAATGTCATGGTCAAGAGGAACAATTGTCTTATATGATCATCAACCTTATCTTATCATCTTATCTTTTTTTATCTTATCAATTAATTGTTCTAAATCATATTTTAAACATTCACAACTACATGTACCTTGTTGGGGGTTAGCAAGGAAGTCTCTACTCTCATGGTACCTAGATCTAGTAGTTTAAAAAGTTCAGTTGAATTGTTTGAGACGGCCATCTGTCCAAGACAGCCACCTATACAAACGACCTCTTCGCACTTTTCCTTTACGTTTTTTAAATACTTGTATCAAACTGAAAGTGTCAAAGTTGTCCACCATTCTAAGACAACTAATTTCTTCCTCAACAATAGGTGACCGTCTTAGACAATTTCAACAACAATTGTGGTCGGAGTGAGGCGTATGTATACAAGCCAAGCAGTAAATCAGTCGCCTCACTTAAATCCCGTTTGTGCAGTCAGGCATCCCCATACAATGGTGGGGAAAAAAGCCGTTATTAGTAAGCTTTATCCCCCGGATAACGGCACGGTGCTGGACTCTGAGCTCATGCATGCTCAAGAGGATTTCGGAAGCTCTTCAGGAATTCAAGTAGTGACGGTCAACGCGCAGATCAAGTGTGTGCTAACAAATGCCCTTTCGTGGATAAACGTATTTCGTTTGGTTTTCCTTTCTAAGCTTTGGTCTGTTGCGTATGCGGCGTTTGTGAAGAGACTCTAGAATGTTTGTTCCACTGAAAAAAAATTTGGTTGTGGTTTTTTTTCCTAGAGGGTTGTAAGAGAGGGGAGAGGGTGGGAGGGAAGGATTTATCAGGTAAAAGGAAGCAAAGAGAGGAGTTGTTAGGAGGGGAGGGGGTGTATCTGTGTACGTGTTTGTGAGTGTTTGTTTGTGTGTTTGTGCTATTCAGTGGTCTGTTAACTTTATATATATATA